GCTTGCACAGAAAAACTCACCATAGGTCGCCGATGGACGCCCAAAATACTTCCATTCAAAAATACAATGAAATTCTTGGGTGCATGGAGCTCAGATCCTGACAGCAGGTTGAGATCCTCAACTCCCAATGATGCTGCCTAGATCACATACATATGCAGAGCATAGCAATGAACATGCACAAAAACGAGCGTTAGCAAGTATCAGCCTCAAAATTGAATAAAAAATGTTCAGTCAACTTCAATGGTTCAGCAACAATTTAGAGTTCACCATGAAAAGGTCCTGAGTTCAAATCCTAGTGAACACATTTGCAGAATCCGAAGAGTGGAGATCAAGGTCAGCGACCTTTCAATGCTGGTCCTGGCCAAGTTCATGTTACTGTACATTACAGTAACATCCATGACGGTAGAGGCCACTCGCCAGAGAGAGCTTGTGAAAGTAAGTAGACAATGGATCAGTGAGCAACTGTAATCACCATCATCTTGGTCTGAGCCTCTGAGGAGCGATTACGTATGGCACTCACTCTGTCTTTTCTTTTCTTTTCTTAAGGTTAGAGGCCATCTCCTAAACAGAAAAGAAAGCAGAGGAACTAACGACGGCCACCATGGAGATCAGCTTTCAAAGCACTTTGGATCCAGAGGTGGCCAAGTGTGGGTTGAGGCATTATGAATGTTGCTACTTGCACAGTAGTAGTAGAAGGGCAACCAGGAATGACTTGCAGCAGGTAGCCGCTGCTGAGGCTACATGGAAAACGGGCATGAGAAGAAGACAGGAGAGTTCATGGGTCTGGACTCTGGATCAACAAGACTGGACAACAATGTTATAACTGTCTGCCCTTCCTTTTAGAAGTCTTGATTTACAAGTTGAGCCAACAGCTTTTGTAAGCCGTAGCTGAGAGGATTTCTAGAAGAAAGGCAAGCTGGCAATCAATCCTCCAGGAGAATGAAGTAATCAATGCTGTTCGGGGGTCCTTCAGCCAGATGTAACGAAGCACGTGTGCGTGATCTGTTGTATTCTCATGACTTGCCGGGGGAAAGGGAACCGGACTGACGCTCCCCAGAATGGATATAGAGCCAGGACCATAAGGCCCTGTTTTTATTTTTTATTTTTTTAAAGGGATGAATGGCTGACATGTGTTCCAAATGGACGGTTTGGATGTGTGCTTAAGCCAGTGTGTGTCATTAGACAATCCCCGCACATCAAAGCTTAGTCCATCTTAGCACGTAGACAGAGTGATAATCAGGGTGCAAGGCACCCAACGTCTGTGTAGTTGAGCAGGCAATACCCACACGTATACCCGGTTCACATGAACTTGCACCCAGGAATAAACGATGGAGCACTCCCAAAATCACCAATTCAACCTGCACCCAAACAGATGACTGCAACAGTGTCCTAGAGTCTGTCTCAATGGGTGGACAAGACCTGATGACAGCTGCATGGCTTGAAAGTTTGGGAATGGATTATTACAGGTGCACAAGCCTTCTACAGCTAACAGTTGATTCACATTGAACGGCATCAGAGGTAAAAAGGTGGGGGCAGTTAGGATTGCTGTCATTGCACAGAATAGCCCACATATTTTGCATACCGACTGTGGACAGGGCTTGGACGTTACAGTCTCTGGCCTTTGGCAGCTGAGTCCCTGGAAAACTATAAAGAGCAGCACCTGAGCGCTCCACAACGGGATTTTGCAGGGAGTCACCCTCAGCCCATGTTTTATCAATTGTGTGAGGCAATGCATGTTCTCTGTGGTTGGTTGTTACATGGATGGCAATCTTCTGACTGTCTTCGAGGGAAAACTGGAGGACGAGGAGCAGGAGGAATACTTACGAGAGAAGCTATCGGTGCCTCCTCATCATCAGTTGTGACGTGTGTCATTAGAGCCAAGTTCTTGACAAGACCACAAGCCTCCCCTTCTGGTGTATCTGCTGGACAGAGCATGCCCCACTATTTTTTGTACGTCACACAGTACCCAGACACAGACACAATCACAAACCACAGGACAACCAATCCATTAGGATCTTGCTTGTCATGTTTCGTAGCTAAACAAAATTGTCATACCATCTGGAAGATTCCACAGAACCACACAGTGAACCCCCTCAGACGATATCCTCGGAACGTCAGAAGTCATATTCTTCTGAGCAACGGCATAACCTGGCATGGTATCTGAATTTGGAATCCAGAAACTTTGCATCTCAAACGCTTTGACTAACGTTTATCATCCAGCACATATAGGTGAATAATACACACGCTTTACTGTTTACAAACAGATCCTGGTTCAAGCCCTGATGGAATCAGATGTGCACATTAGCGTTAGGGGCCCCCACCATCCGGGCAAAAAGTTAAAAAAAAGTTAAAAATTAAAAAAAAAAAACAGAATAGTTTTTGCCATATTCAAATGACTTACTTCCCCACCCTAGTCTCAATTTCCTTAAGGGGAAAACATTCCCTGCTGGTTCTTGCCTGCTGGCTTGGTTGGCTGGCTGATGGGGATAAGGATTGTGATGCAATGAAACCTCCCCGTCGAACACCCAAGATGACACACAAGTGCAGCAGAACATTCACATGCGAGTGCACACAGCACACTTCACACCGAGAGATGGAACCAGAACACCACACCAGAATCCACACCGAATTATTATTAATTGTTCATGTCATGAAGTGCCTTCTGCCGCATCACAACTCAAGCACCAGGTATGTAACTGCTCACCCCTCCTCTTAGGTGCGCGACTCTCTCTCTCTCTCTCTCTCTCTCTCTCTCTCTCTCTCTCTCTCTCTCTCTCTCTCT